GCTGTAAATAAACGATTACTGTTTGTCTCCCAATTTGCATCTGTCTCTTATTCGTGCTGGCCGCACAAAACTGGGTTTATTTCCCCATTTTTGCAACACTGGGATGGAGGTAGCTTTCTTCACAGCTGCTGTATGGTCCTGGGTTTTGGATCTGTGGCTAAAACAGTGTTGGTAACTCACCAGTGTTTTGGCAATTGCTGAGTGGTGCTTAGACAGTGTCAAGACCTTTTCTGTTTGCCACTTGGCAAGTGGTGTGAGAGTATGCAAAAGTCTGGGAGGGGACACAGCCAGGACAGGTGACCCAGGTTGGTGAAAGAGGATATTCCGTAACTTCGTGCTCTCCGGTAAAAACAGGTGGAGGTGACATGCGGAAAACGGACTCCACAATCTGTAAGATTGTAAAGTAGGTATGTTTATTCAGCGCTGGGCAGCACGGGGGGGTAGTCCCACCCAAGTCGTGCGTGCCTCAACATGGCAACTTGTCTTAGATTTATACAGTTAAGTGTTACATATACATAAGGTTTCCCAATATGCCTATACATATGAATGACCTGTCCCCGCTTCCTATTAAAATTAGTCCCAAGAAGTCATTTCCATAAACTTCTCCCATCTGCACTTGTGCAGTGCCTCCTTGTGGTGGTCGTCGAGGGTCGTAAAGGTGAAGGCTGATGGCTCCTCTTCGTCACTGCTGGTAACCCCTTGTTCTTGTGCAGACTCAGTTGCTCCTTGGCTCTTGCCCAAACTTCAGGGTCGGTTTCAGCCGGTTCTTAAGACAGGTTCATAATTCTTACTGGGGACTGTCTATTGTAGGGGGCCACAAGACTTCTTGCTTCAACTAATTTGTACAATGGCGAACAGAAACATTAAGCAACATCTATTAATTCCATCCCCTGGGCTATACCGCAATCTAGGTAATCATTAAGCAATGTCTTATCTACTAAGATTCCCTTAACTCCTTCTCTTAGAGGAAGAAGTGGAGTTTGGCTTCCAAGGTGGCTGTTGCTCAGAGACTAGCTGGGCATCAGTCTGCTTGTGGGAGGTGGTGAGTGATTTCCTTTGTGTTGCTTGTTTCAAACCCCTCTCCCCTTTCCTTTGCCTATTAAACTCTCTTTATCTTGACCCTCGAGTTTTCACATTTTTTATTCTTCCATCTTTCTCCCTTATCCTGCTTGGGAGTGGGCGAGTGGCTGCATGGGTGCTTACACCAGAGGAGTTGAGCTCCCATCGACCTATCCTGATGGGAACTGGGGGGAGGCCAACCCTGTATTGGCTGTTACACTAGTAAATACAAGGTTTTGTTGGCCACAGTTCAAACCAGGGTACAATGCTGGCTTCCTCCTTATCAGTGGACCTGGATGAAGTAAAAGTCAATGCTTTTGAAAAGCATTGAAGTCTACTGGTGGTTGTTTCTCCAGAGTGATCAAAGGATCTTCCACAGAGTTGGCTTTGTGCTGAGTTTATATTACTGGTCTCCTGATCCTACTGTTACATGGGTCACCTGATCAAATGCTCCTTATTTGTCATCATTCCTTTCATCTCCTGTTGCTGGTTACTTTCTCATGCTACTTTTAGGTTACTGATGTCACTAATCTCCAGGTGAATATTCTTTACTTCCTTCCACTAATCGTGCTTGAGGTCAGTCTGTTAGCAGGAGCAAATGCATAGCAGTGTTACCTAGTGGGGGATAGAGACCATGACTATGCAAACAGTACAGTGATTTTTTTTTTTTTTTTTAATAGGCCAAGCACTACAGTGTACAATTGCAGTAAAAAGATCTGCACAAATACAGTAACATACAATTATGGTAAACTGTAGTAAAGAACTACTTCTGTTCCTGTAGTTTATTAAAGATTGAAGCAGTTTATTAAGAACATGTAACTAACTGGCAATCACTCAGCTATATCTTCAGAAGTCAGCTGTTACTGTGATCTTGGTTTTGCATCACACGAGTCTGACACAACATTGCTGAGTCTTATCTCCCTCTGTTTTCCCTGTTTGGGTGTTTTCTGGCTCCAGTGCACAGGTGTACAGACTTTAATGTTACGTTACGGTGTTCAGTGCATGAAGTATTAAATTTTTGCTGGAATGTCTTAGCCAATCTAATAAATCAGAAGCCTGTAACAATTTATTCTGTGTTTTAAGCTTCATTTATTTTTGTCTGTATGTATTTTCCTAGAGGAGGGCCTGTCTGATGAAGTAATTGGTAACAAACGTTGCCAATACCTGTCTTTCCTATCAGAAATGAATTTACATGTTTTGTGTAAATTAAGGCTATTAGAAAACTAAAGGAACCATAGCCTTTCACTGTTTGGATGTGTTGTTCCTTTTCCCCTAAAACAGAAACCTGTAACAGTTGCACTTGCTAGTCTTTATATAGATGTCACAAATTCCCCTCAAATCTCTGAGGTGAATATGAGGTGTCTCCACAGAGTGGTTCAGGGACATTAAATAAGACAGAGGCCAGAGACATGTCTAAAACTATCTGATAGAGAAGTCTAGGTGTAGGCGTTTGGGTTCCACGATAGATTTGTTGAAGATTTTTGTGCTGTTACTCCTGTGTTCAATGGGGGTGTGTCTCCATTTCTTTTCTATGTGCTGTCAATGAAGAATTTGCAGTTGCCTGCGTAGTAGTTGCTGATGATTTCTGAGGCTTGCGGTCAAGGTGATAAAATAGCAGGTGGAGGAGTGAAGCAGGCATGTGTGAGGAATAGTTTTCTCTGTCTTTTGGAATCTTGTACTGATACTGAACTTCTCAAATATTCTTCCTAAGACAAGTGCTTTCTGCCAAATAGCACTTTTTAAAGAAGCATATTTTGTTATACTAAAGCTATACAAAAATTTAAGGTTGTGATCACAGTTGCAAACTTAGTTTTCTTAATCCAGCTAATAATGATGATGGACTAATGTTGTACTCCTCATTTTTATGGTCTTGACAGTGACAAGAATTGGGTTTTAGTCTTGGCTAAGTTGTGTGTTGCATGTGGTAAAATTTTCTCCTCTATTTAGCAAGGATTTTACAATAGCTACTAGTTGGCATCTTAGTCTTGTTTACATATCTCAGTCATGTTTCTGAAACATAAAAATGTCTTGAGTTTCTTCAGCAGTTATCTAATTCAAGGACATGTTTATTTTACCCCCTGATTATTTTTCAGGAAATATCCAGTGCAACATTATCAGTCTGAAATTGTTAGCTTGGATGCAAAAGCCTGTTTTCTCATCTAAGATTCCTGCATCACTGTAAGTATTGCCTTAATGCTGTTGTTGCTATGAATTTAATACTGTTGTTATGAATTTTATATGCAACTTTGTTTTCTTGTTTTCTTTTGTTATGGGTGTCCTTTGAGAGCAGAGAAAGTAAAAGAGACAATGAAGGAAGATAGAGCTATCTTTGAATCTTGATAACACCACCTGCAAAATTTCAACTTTGTGGCTCTTAATAGGCTAGATCTGAGTGATGCTTCTTGTTCCTAAGTTTGAAATCAGAGTCTTAAAATCTAGAAGAGCCCATGAAAGTAAGTCAGGAGCCTTGGGTGATCTGGGGGAAATGATCCATAACATTTTGTTGAGAAATTGTCTAACACCCCACACAAAGCAAGGTGTTTGTTCTGTTCTATATGGGTTTGACCATACTGAGAGGAACTTACTGAGATGCAAACAGCATTCATGCTTGTAGGTTGTCATGTTTTGGTTTGGTTGGTTGGTTTGTTTGTTTTTTTCATTTTTTTAAAGATTGAAATAGTGTTTGGCTTTGAAGATATTGTCTCTTGACAACTTTCCAGAGGTCATTCAGAAGTAACATGCTCACCCAGTTGTGCTTGTTGGTAGTTAATATAAATTCTGGAATATAAGACATGAAGAGTTAGAAATTTGTGACTTCGTCACCTCTTGGAGGTATAATTACTTACTGCAGTAGCAGAGGTGGTGATGTCATCTCCATGCTTCATGCCTTCTGCTGGCTGAGTAAGTTAACACTACCAAACAGAATTAGGAGTCGTTTGCTTGTAGCTACAGGTACTGTTAGAGTCACAGACTCGTGGTTCTCAAAAATTAGTAACTGGACACAGTGTCAGGGAAGAGCAAATGACATGTAAAAAAAACAAGTGGGCCACATTATTATGAGAGATCTTTAGTGAATCCAAATTGATTTTCTCCTTTCTTCTGTTGTGTTTGAAGGTATAATTGAAGTTGAGTCGTCTTGTCTGAAATCTCTGACCTGTGTTATATTCTATAGGTGCTTCTTATGCTCGGCTCTTAGGCATTGCTTATTGTATACTGTTACATAAATGTATTGGGTTTTTTCCGTTGGTTTTGGCTGAGAAGGTAAATGTAGCAATCTATTGTTAAATTAAAAAGTTGAACAATAATGGAATTAGCAGAATAATGTGAGGATTTTGTTATTGATTAGATAGTCAATAGAATTGTTAGTTGCTGCTCTGTCTTTTTGTACCTTAAGTGTGTTTTGGGAAATAATTTATGCAACTTGACATTGACAACATCAGTGACCACGGGATGTGCCAGTGGAGTTACTCTTCTACCCAGCAATTTAAGTTCAACAGTTCTGTTCATAATGCATTCTAAATCACTTCTTGGTAAGTGAAATTTGTTTTAGTTGAAAGATTAAGGTTTGATTATTTTTTTATTTTAGCATTTTGGGTTTTGGCTGAAGAAAAAGAAATCAAGAAAAGATGGACTGGAATGTAAGACCACTCCAGAATGCTGACACAAAGAACAACCTTCAAAGTGAAGAAGCACCTTACACTCAGTTGCTTTCTAATGCACATGCTTTTCCTCAGACAAATGCCTGTTCCTCTAAAAATGCATGCACTTATACTGAAAATAACCAAATGGTGTATCCGCCAGCTAACAATGTTGCCTTCCCTTTTGTAAATGCTGAAGGATTCAGAACTTCAGACCAGGCCTTACCAGGAGGATCTGTAGCTGGTAATGATTTTTTTGTCTCAAAATACTCAGTTGGTCGACATCCACCATCCTGCATACCAATAGCTCCAAAACCTCCCAATCAGACATCACATTTGCAGGCAGAGGTGACTCAGACTTCTTGGCAAAACTCTAATGCCTACATTTATTCCCTTGGAAAGTTACCTCACCTGTCTTCTCAAATGAACGCTGGAAATAACATGAGGAATGTACTTCAGGAACCTCAGTATGTCACCACAAACTGTTACACTGTTCAGCCACAAATACAGCAGCATAATTCAATGAGAACTGCAATGTTATATCAAAGTAGCTTTCATTCCCAGAATAATTTTATGTCTGTTGGTACATCTGGGCAATATGTTCAAGCCCAAATGTATCATCCCAACACTCAGTTTAAAGTTTTACATGCGCCGAATCAAAAAAATGAAGCAAATGTACAGCAGCTACAATATCACCAGAGTCAGATGGCATCAGAAGCTTCTAGTGGCTGTTCTGCACCATCTTTGTTGCCTGCCAACTGTGATTCAAGAGCTGCAGCACAACCTTCAATAGGTGTACCACAAGCAGTTCAAAATGTGCCTAATAGATACACCCTTAGCCAACAGAGGCGCCCATCAGATCCAAAAAAGGCTTCTGGTTTTAAGCAATGCTGTCAGAAACAGCAACCTGGAGAAGTCAGTCAATCAATTAGGAATGTCTGTAATTTGAGTGGAAATGCGACAGCGAATCAGCCTTTTAATGAAATGTCTGTGCCGTCCTCAGGCATTTCTAAAGAATTGTGTGATATTGTGAAAGAAATGAAAACTCTTTCTTCGATGTCTCCTTCAGAGCCACTGGGTGATCCTGCCTCAGTTCAAGAAAGTCAGACTACTAGTTTAATGAATGGGTCTGTTAATTCTCAAATTTCTTCAGCAGCGGCAGGTGGAGGAACAATTACAAAGGACAGACTGGCTTGGGAAGCTCAAAAGCTGCTCACTATTAAAAAGAAATGTGTCCTGCTTGAACGGATGTATCATTATAAAAGAAAACTCTTAGCAGCTTCAGAACGTGACCAAAGTACTCCCCCACTTCCTTCAGGTTGTCAAGGTACTCTTGCCAGTTCTCTTCCATGGGTGCCCAACCAAAGTGTACCACCTTCCTCATCTGAAAGAGCAAGGACAGAGACTCTAATATGTAGTTCTTCACCTGAAGAAAGAAATGACAAAAAAGTAGCCAATGCTGATAATGGAGGATTAGAGGTGACTCAAAGTAACCCTCAGGTGGAGCAGGGAAGCCTTTCATCAAGCTCTGCTCCTGTTGCCTCTCAGAGCAAACCCCCAGCTCAATTAAATAACCTTGAGATCACTCCCATCTCAGAAGAAAGGGATGCATATGCCTTGGCCTCTTCTCAGAAAACTGTGACATCCTTGAACAATGCTTCATGTTTTAATCAAGTGGATAGCTCTATCAAAATTGCATCAAAGAATGTGCCAGCTTACCCTGAGGACTCGTCATTTCTTCAGTTTGTATTGAGCAGCACAAATATATTGAAAGAGAAGACAGCTGGTGCTACTGCTGATAGAATATTGACTAGTCTCCTGTGTGGTGAAAAACCGCTAGCAGATACGTCCGTCTCAGGTGAAAGCTTACCAAAAGACACTGGTAAGAAGAATGTAGAAAGTTTGAAAGGTGAGCAGTCATTTATTGTTCACACAAACTCTCCTGTATCAGAAACAACCGAATCCGGTGAAGCTAAATTCCAGGGTGATACAGCTCAGAAAAAAAAGCTGTTTACAGAAAATGCGTCTTTTAAACAGAGCAATTACACTGTGGAAGAGCTAACTGCATGCCTGGGCTTGTGGAGAAAGCATCCATCGGAATCTGTAAGCATGCGAAATAGCCAGGCAAATGAAAGCCCCGCAGCAAATCAGGTTTCACCTTACAGCCAAAACACAACAAATCGAGAACAAAATAATGTTCTGGTTAGTACAGACGAAGCAAGTTTGCCTGTAGCAGCTGCTTCTGTAGGACAAAAACTTGATACGTTGAGTTGCAATTTGGTAAAAAGTTTTGAACTCCAAGTTGCAGTTGTCTCTCCTTTAGTACTTTCTGAACAGAGAACAGAGAGTGAGCAGGCAGACAAATGTCCAACATCTGCAGGTAAAGCCTGTCCAGTTATTGACTCAGGAAGCATACGTAGCTTGAAAGAAGAGGGGAAAAATAGTTTAAGTGTGGTAAATACTGATAAAGGAAAAGTAGAAACTGTTCAGTCGTCACCCAGTGATTGTGTTTCAGTACAGAAAGTGGGCTCACCTTTGCCACAGACCAAATTAGCTGATGGAAACGGAACAGTAAAAAACTGTGTGGGTGCAAATGATTTATATGATAAAAACCAAAGGAAAGTTAGTCAATCTACACAAGATGCCACAGAAAATCTGCAGCTTGGATTACAAAACAACCCTCCTCTTCCTGGATTTGGCATAGATTTTTCCAGTCAAATCATTCAAGAAGGTATAAGAGACCAGAAGGACAAGCAAGCTGTGTTAGAGACAGGAGATGCATCCACAGCTGTGGTGGGAGAAGAGATGTTTTGTATTTCTACAGTATGTTCTCTTGTTGAAGGTGATACGTTTTATAATCCACAAATAGCAAGTATTTTCAGGTCAGTCCCTGAAACACCTGTGTTAAAAGGTACCTCATCAGAAGGAAAAGCATCTGACTCAAAGCAAAAGGAACAACGGCTGGACTTGCGTAAAAGTAAGCTGAGCAATAACACTCCCCAAAGAGACAGCTTGCTGCAACGGGTGTTAGAAGATTCATCAACCTGCCCAAGTAAAGCTGGTAAGATTTGGGATGGCATCAGAATTATTCATTTGGGGAAACAAGGAAGTGGCAATCCTCTTAAAACAAGTTCTACCTCAGAACAAAAAATGTCATTGAATGCATCTTTCAAGCATCCTGAAAATGACTTGGAAATTCCTGCTAGTATAAACCAGCAGTTAGCTCAAAATTTACTAGATTTCTCCATCAGCACAGCTGCTGAAACAGACGCATGCACTGTTCCAAGACACAACAATAAAAAAAATTACAAGTCCAGTAAAAATAGCACAGAAAAAGAGAGAGACCTTTTTGGAGCAGAACCTATTAAATGTCTAAACAATCAGCTGTCCGAACTAATGAAGGAGTTTCCTTATGGCATTGAAGGCGCTCATATGCGAACAAAAGAACTAGTACAAAATAATTCTTTGACTGAGCAGATGGAGAATCAACCTCAAAAAGGGACTCAAATTTGTGACAAGAATTCCCATTTGAAGGGCCCAGTAGATCAGATAAAAATCACAGTGTTAAGCTCCGATCAGATGCAAGAACCATTTCCTGAACACAACCGGTGTTCCTTTAATGACAGCAAGGGAGTAGCAAGTCAACAGTCAGAAAAGGGTTCAGCTGAGGAGAACTTTGAGGGCAGTATTCAGCCTAGTCAGAGTCTATGCAAGAAGAAAAAAAAACCACGAAAAACCTCCAACCCCAGAAAAAGTACCGATTGTTCTTTACTGGATTCGCAATCTGTAGCATGTGAAATGCCACAGTATCCCTGTAATTTTGGAATGTCTGATTCAGAGAAAAATTATGATCAACTTTCGAAAGCTGAAAATACTAGCTCTGCAGAGGGACAAGAAGACAACAGTAATGATGACATAGTGAAGAACAACTGTGCAATGGGAAACCTGCCAATTTCTGAAAAAATGCCAAATAGCGTTAGCAAGAATAAAAAAGATATTTGCAAATACACCTCTGTAGCGACCAAAACTGCTGGGCCAAAGGTAAACGATGAATACAAACCGCTTACAACACAACAGGAAAAAATTGGACCGCTTAATTCCTCTGAAAACAAGGATGTTGATCAATCTGAAAGGAGCAACGGGAAGGAAGAGCTGCAAATTGACAGAGGAACCCCATTGTTAGGCAATGAATTTCATTCTGGCAAAAAAGAACACCAGACGGCCTCGGAAGAGTTGTCAGAGAAAGCTGGTCATACAGATGCAGACAACATGACAAAGTCATCCAAAATGAAAGAGACAGTTTTCAAAATGGAGTCCCTTTCTAAAGATAAAATCAAAACAGGTTTGGCCATGAAATCCAAAACAGATGTTCACAAATGTACAAAGTCAGAAACTGTTGAAATTAAGCACACGGAAGTCAATCAAGGACAAAAAATTAAGACATGTGATGAGAACTCAGCTGAAGAACAGGACTGTAGAAAACAAAAGGAGATACTTGGGCAAGATGTAGGAATTAACATCAAAGAGAAAACCAAGTTATCAGCAGAAATAAAACCTAAAAAGCTGAATAGTTACTGTGCAAATGTTGGCACTGGAGACTTAAAGTCAAGAAACCCCAAATACTCTCAGCATAAATCTATGAAAGTTCATCCTTCACAAGAGCAGTCGTACAAACGGAAGAGGAAGGAAAATGTGATTGGGAAGAGAGACCCTAAGAAAACAAAGGTAGAAGAGGAAAGACTGAAACAACCTGAAGCAAAGAATTCCAAGCAGCTTTCACATAATTGCATGATAAATACTGACAAAGCTAAAAAATTGAATGGAGAAAATGGCTGGAAACCGAAGAGTTCATTAGCAGATCGCTCTGTACTTAAATTACAGAGAAAAAGGGGTCGATCATCTACCATCTCTAAAAACTACTTTTCTAACAAAGAGAGACGTCTTGATGGTCAAAACAAAGACAAGTGCCCTGAGAAAATGTTTCCTGATAAAAACCTGCTATACTTAAATAGGCGAAATAACAGATTAAAATTGCATCTTCAGAAGGAACCAAAAAAACACTACCTGAATAGAGTTGCATTTAAGCGTATGGCACAGGAACGCATCTATCTGACGAAATTAGAGACATCGCCTGTCAGACCCGTCTGGCATACAAAGCCCAAAGCATCACGAAACAACCCAGATGCGAAAAGAGATGCTTCTGTCTCAGAAGTTGAGAAATCGTGCAAAGTGGAAGTACTTGAATTTAAGCTGTGTCCAGAGATACTGTTCAGAAATCCAACCACTGATGAAGAAAGCTTAGCTGCAAAGAATTCCCTGGAAAGAGAGAAAGCCATTGTGGCAGGTATGATGCAATCTTGTCAGTAAATTACTTTGCAAGTAAAAAGTATGTACTTGTTTTTAAATTCATGTTACACAAAACTACAGACAGTGAAAATGGGGGATTCTAGAAGCTGAGGGTTGAAGTAGCTTAGCTAGCTTTCTGACAGACTAACTGTGTGTTAAGCTGAAAAAGAACGTGAGACTTTTCCTTCAGTTTAACATCTTACTCTTTTTCCTTAAGTTTTACAGAATAGTTTAGGGCGCAGCAGTTTTCGAGACAAGCTGTCTAAGCTACTTGTAGAAAATAGTTTGGCTCCTTCGTAGAAAGCAGGTTCCCTGGCATAGTTGCCAAAGGTGTTCTGATTTGTATTCAGTGTTCAGCTGGTTGTAGATAAATCTGGCTGGGTAGACAGCAGAGGGAGAGATCTTTTGTGGTGTTGAGGAGGAGAAATGGACTTGGGCCAGATATACCCTGCACGCAGTCTCCGTAACTGTTGCCATCTTTGCTTTAATCTGCCTGTTTTCCTCCTCTTCTTCCCTGTCCCCAGTCTTTTGACATTTTATGTGGGACATTGTGAAGCATATTTGTGTCAAATGCTATATTTGATTTTAAATAAAATTAAATCTTAAGTTATACACACCAGCCCTTGCAGTCATTTTCACACCCAAAGGGAAATTTCCTTTTGCATGTGCTAGTATATGTGTTAAAACTTGATGCTGAGAAAGACCAAAACTTGTGATACAGGATCCCCAAAAACATTTTTTAAATGTTCTTTTTAGGTGTCAAGAGTAAAAAAGAAGATTGGTTAAAATGTGATCCAGTGAAGCAAAAAAAGCTGGAAGAGATCTCTACAGGTGAAATGACTTCTGATTATCCCTCCTGAAATAGAAGTTAAATACCCTCTGCTTGGTTTTAAATGTTACTTTACAGCAGAAAATCTTAATAAAGTATTTCAACTTACTCTTTACTAGCTCTGCTGCTGAAATGGGTACTACAGAGTAGACATGAGTTTCAAAGATTTGTGGACATTTTTCTTGCCGTAAGAATATGTTGTTGGAGATTGTTTGGATTTTCCTGCATGTGTGTGTGCAGTTGAATTGGAGGTAGCACTGGCGACAACATTCTGGTAGCGTTTTAAACTGTAGGTAAAGACCAAGCTAGCTCTTTCCCACTGTAAAACGTAGGAAGTGACATAGCAAAATCTAGTGTGAGACCGTGAAAAAAGAAAGTGACTTTTAAATTTTATTTGACTTTCACAGTTGACACTGTCCGCACATACACCTATGCTCACAAATACTGGGACCTGTGTGTCCTAGTAGTTTGGACAGGATTACTAGGATGACAAACAGAGGAAAAGTGGTGCCACTACTATGTCTTCGTTGTTTCTCTTGATTGGCAGATTACTTTTTGGGTGGTCCTTTGTACCCTTTAGGAGTCAACAGTTACAACGGTGGCATGTTTCATCTCAGGGTCTTGGTTGTTCCATCCTTTGTAAATCTTGGGTGAGGTTGCTCCCTGCTGTCTGTCTTTCTTGGCTTTAGGTTTCTTTCTAGCCATAGTCTTGTTTTCCTACTAGTCTAACAGGAAGCAAAATTGTGCATTCAGCATGCCATAGCCTTGTTGCCATCCTTCTTACCAGAGTGCAAGTCCTCTGCTGACAAGTTACCTGTGTCATGGTCTTGATGCAAGCAACACATTTTGCAATGATTAGATCTTTTATTGCTGTTGTCTGTGTCCTTGGCTATTGGTCTCTGCCATTCTTTTAGCCCTTCCTCTTGTTTCTTCTCTTATTTTCACAAATGCACATTTTCATTCACACCTTTCTTAATATTCTTTAGAAATCCGTCTTACAAAGACACCCAAATGCCCATTTGGCGCTTAAAGATGCGTTGGAGATTTAAATCAATCTGAAGTGCCTGGTGCTTCAGGGAGGAAGTTTGTGGCATCCTTTTTGGCAGTGGGTGGCCTTAAGTACCACATGCATAAGGAGTAGAGTCATTTGAGACTCTTAAGACTTTTGCTTTAACATTCTTCTCTGTCTTTCAGCTGAGGACAGTATTCCACTTGATACAGCTATGCAGATCCTGGATGGAGATGGCGAGGCTCTTCACTTTCCAATCAAAGATTCAAAAGAGGTGTTTCAGACCTACAAGAAAATGTATCTGCAAAAAAAGACGCAAAAGCCTTGATAACACTTCTGTATCATAGGTCTTGTTCAGTATCACTAGGGAAAAAAATGCCAACGCTAAAATGCTTTTTCCTGTTTACTTCATATTTCTGAATAATGGTTAAAAAAAAAAAAGTTTTTATGTGTTGGCAATTTTTTCCCATTTGCCTTGTATTTGTGAATGATTGAGATCTTATTCTATATTTATTGCACAAATACGCTTTGGTGCTGAAAATGCCATTGTCAAATGTATTGTTTCTTTTTGGCATATTTGAATCTTTTTTTTTTTTAAAGATACAGGAGTTAGTTGAATCTCGACCAAAAAAATCTCAAGGTTATTTAAATTGTCATAGTCTGTTTTCTGATTCTGGAAAACTTCTACTTGTGATACTTTCCATTGCTGGCAGTGGAAAAATACTCTTACTGGAAAGTGACTGCAGTGGATTCCCAAGCATTACACCTTTATTTTCTACTTATGCTAGTCTGATTGTTGTGCTTCTAACAGGACTATTTTTGTAGAAACTGGTTGTTTTTTTTTCTTTTCTTTTCAAACTGGGAATATGAATATAAAACCCTCCTATCAAACATACAGATCAGGGGATACCATGAAGTATTTATGCTGCTACCTAGTTTTCTTACATTCCTTTTTTTGGAGCTTGTACAAATTGAACACTGAGTTCTTCATCTGAACACAATGCTGTAAAGTGATAGTTGACTGAGGACTTCTCTTGTTTTTCCTCTCTCTCTGCTTTCTTTATACTTGAAAGGAAAGTGGGATTGTTGAAGTGTAGGGAGTTTAACTTCACTCTTGTCTGGACTATGTTGCTTGCTTTAACCAGACTGTAATTAATTTCTCTGTTTATAAAGTGTTAGATAGTGTTTGACTACACATTCACTGTGACATGAGTGATATTTGTTGCTGGGTATCTTTTCTTTAAGTGCCTTTTCATTATTGTTCAGAATTTTGAAATGAATCCTATTTTTTCAGAAATTTGGTACTTGATTCTTTCTATCTGTTTAAACCTTTATACTGAAAGTAAAAACTCTGTAGATATTTCACTGAACAATTTTTGTACTTGAAATAAACTTTTGAAGGCTATGCCTTGTCTTTTTTTTTTTTTTTAAAGTATGAAGTTGTGTTTGTTGCAGTTAGTTAAATAGGCATTGAAGATATTCCTGTAGATGAAAAGCAGCTTTAAAATAAGTGCCAGATCTTCCTTCTTAAAAGGCTTCATAATTGCAAATGAGAACTGGACTTGAGTCCAAGTTTTTTCTAATGAACTCCCAACAGCATATACTTATACTTCAGAAAACAGGTGTTTTTTCTCTTCAGCACTTACCCCCTGCCCGCCCCCCCGCCTTTGACTTGGAGTTGGGAATTGGTTGGCATAAGTACTTAAAAAGCCTTCAGTACTACTCCATTCCTGAAGATGTATGCTTGTAGGCATCTTGGATATAATTATCCAGTGGAGCTTAACATTATAATTTCCTAGGTCTGTCTGTATGCTGAATTAAAAATTAGCTTTTTGGGGAGAAGAGTCCTCCCCATCCATCATGTGTATGTTACTTCTCTCAAACTACAGAAGTATTCAGGAGGTTTTTAACTCTCTTCCTGTCTGGCACAGCTGTCCTAATAGTTTAGATTTTATTTCTTTTTCTTTTTTTTTCCCTGGCTGGATGCCCAGCTATTAGTCTGTGGGGAATGTTGCCACTGGAGAATTTTGTAATAATGCTGGCAACTCCAAGAAGGTTTTATTTTGCATTTTCTTGGGAGTTTAGCACCTGTATTATACTGCCTGCATTAAGGAAGATTCATTGTAGCCTTAAATACACCCAGTACAAACAACACGTAGTTTCTGTCAAGAATTTATTTGGGTTTTGTTCTGCATAATGATACATGAAGCTGACTGAAATGCTTGAGTGAATTCTTTTCAATAGGAAATTATTTAGTCCCTTGACCCATGACAATTACATTCTAAATATTTAGAGAAGTTTGCTCAATGACCCTGTGCACCCATAAGTGAGAATGCTAGTTTTGAGTCCCAGTGGATACAGCTACGTCTTCTTCCTCTCTTACACCAAGGAGTGAATCTTGGCTCTGACCATGTTTACATGGTGACTTGTGCCTACACTGCTTTGATATGACTAGGATTTTTGGGATAGACTGGCCACATCCTTTCTGCTTTGTTCCTGTGTTGATGTCCTGTAAGACTTTGCACTTATGGCTGGCTTCTGGCCTGCGCTACGCTTACTCCGTAATTGCTGCCTGCACTTGCATACTAAGAGGACTGTGTGAGATGCTTTTATTCAATTGCCATTTCTCCTGCTCCTTATGGTGTTGATCGAAGCCATGATGCTACAAGCCATTTGCCTTGGACAGGAGAGATGCAACACCACCTAGATGTGGCTACTGTGAAAAAACTAGCGTTATGTTGCTTGAAGCAACCTGACAAAAGTGAGAATGTGGGCATTCACTAGCACTGAAGGTACCCATCATGGATGTGGTGTGTGCTGCCCATTGTCTTGCGTGTTGCCTGTACTTGAAAGGACTTTTAATATGAATGTCACCAGTGGGGTTACTTTGCACAAACCATGAATACTGTCATGGACCTGAGAGTGCTAATAGATCTTAGTGGTCCTAATCATCTGTGCGTGGGACCTCCACCCACACCCCCTACTTACGGGCTTAGGAGCTCCATTTAAGATCAAGCCAGGGCTTCAGTCCCTGCCTGAGCAATGTTCAAGGTCTACATGTTTCTAGCTCTGTTACAGTCATGACTGTGTGGACATGGAAATTGCCCATTGATCCTGACCTGTGGATGGTCCTCCTGCCTGGACTCGAGCATATGTTATTGCTATGAAGCTGCCTGTCAGTCATGACTGTGTCTGACCCTGGTTGCCATCACTGGATCTGATCCTGGCCTGTGGACTGGCTTCCCAGCTTCACATTGGCCCTCCTACATCACCACAAGCTTGTCTGGTGATCTGGACTCTGATTTGACCCTAGTTAGCATCCTTGCCCTGCTTGGGTGCTGTAGGGATGGGGCCTTGGCTGGTGAGACCCCTGCCTTGCCAGTTGTGGTATCTTCCTCGGCTTCTGGCCCCTGGCCCTTAACGAGCCGCTGGTCTTCGCTGAGCCCTGACAGATACAGAACTGTAGGCTCTGGGTGTGCAACATCCTATCTTGTTGGTGACTGTCTTCTCTCTTCTTCCCGTTCCCTTAGAGAAAACTTTCTGTGTCAGTAGGAAGGGCTACCACTTCTATCATTCTTGACTTTGTGCTCCAGGAGAGTCATGGATGAGGTTCCTGATAAGTGTAAAAGGGTATATGTCGTTTGCCACCCATTTTCAAAGACAAGAAGATGACCACAGAACTACAGGAGACTGCTCAGCCAGTCTGACCCCTTTCTTTTGGAAAATTATACAGCAATCCTTGAAGCCGTGACTACCCAAGTATGGTAAGGATAAGGCGATTTGGAACAGTCAGGGTGGATTTACAAAGGGTAAGTCACACCTGACCAACCTGATAGCCTTTTATGATGAGATGACAGATTCTGTGGACAAGGGGAGTGTAGAAAATGTTGTTTAACAAGGCTCTTGACATGGTTTCTCATAGTATTCTTGTAGGCAAATTAGAGAGAGATGGTTTGGATAAGTAACCTACACAGTAGGTAGAAAATTAGCTGACCAGCTGGGCTTGGAAGGATGCTGCCTGTGATCAGTGGTACAAAGTCCAGCTGGCATCTCCCATTTTTCAGCAATTGATACTGGGGCTGTCATTGTTCACCATCTTCATTAATGAAGTGGAGAATGGGATGTAATGAACCTTTGCAGGTGTGCATGGACAAATGGGGTCCTTAGGAAACTCAAGAGTAACTTTCTGCGGGAGTTCAGGAAGGGCACACAGGCTGTCTCCCAAAACCACTTGCTGCTTCTTGCTCACTTCTAACAGGTGAAACTAGAGATACTCACAAGAGCTGGTTTCTAATGGTGTGATGAGGCCATGGCCCCAAAGGATGGCCTGTCCAGCAGATGCCTGTCTTCAGCTTCAGGCAGCAATGCCTGTGGAGAAACTGGGCTCCCATCTGCTCCAGGACCTGATAAGGACTGCCTTCCTTAACCATCTAGTGAAGTGATGTTTGAGAAGGTCAATATGGTGGAAGTCTGTGTAACAGTAAGATAACAAATTTGACAAGGTTGACTGCAACACTGTTATTTCCTTTGACCAAATATGAACTCAGATGCCATAAATTCAGTGGTCATTTACTTCACATAATTGTCATGACATGTTGTAAGTCACACTCACTGTTTTGCCATGTGTCCTGTCATACAGTGACCTGGTCCTTATAAACCAAGAATACAGCCAGTCATCAAGGAAAAAAAAAACCTGCAGGAAAAATGCCTTACAAAGAGCTGGGCTTGAGAAATTGGAAAAATGTTGCCACCACGTTTGGTGTTGACAGTACTTTCCTTCCAAAGTGTTATACATTATGTTTTTCCTACTGATGCCTCATCAGCTCAGTGCTAGACAGATGTGTGCTCTGCTTTCCAATTAAGAGTGATTTTCTTAGTGACAGACAGATGGGTTGTAATTAGAATACAGCCTTTATTCTAGAAACCTGGTCCTTAACTAAGTCTTCCTTTAAATGTGGCTGTAGTGGCTACACTTGCTACCTCTCTGTCTCAGTCCTTGTCGCTCTGCCTTGCTAGACCTAAATATTTTGCCCTTCCTTTTGGAAACCTTGCCTTCATCCTTACTTTGTTCCCTCTTAGGACTTCTTGTTGAATTTGCAAGTTTGCCACTTCAACCTTATTTTTCAAACTATTTTTTTCTTCTCATCTTCTTTGTCTTCCCCTGCCTGCAGGCCCTCAGTCTGTTTTCACCCCAGCAAAGCTCACAGTCTCGAAACTTTTCCTGGGCTCTAGCTCCAGTGCTACCAGCTCAGCCGTGCAAAGCCTACCTCATGTTTACACTTCCGTATTTCAGGAGCCAGGGAGCTTTTTATTTTTACTTTTACTTTGTTTGCTGTCTGTTCATCA